AACAGGAACCCTGACAGCCCCGCGCCCGGAGGGGCGGTGACGAGTGTGGCTGGGCGCTGCGTGGCCGGCCCTCCCGGCCGGGGTGGAGTTTGCCCCTCCCCCTGCGCTCCCCTACCCTTGGGTGCGGGTCCCGAGCTGGAGACGGGCTCTGAGAAACCAGGCCTGAGCCTCGCTCCGCACCCCTGCGCCTGCGAAACCACTGCCTCCCCCTCTTTCTCCCATCCCCCCTCCTATCCAGGGCTCGGGCCTGCCAGCCGCCGAGGGCCGGAGGCTCACCTGGAGCGACCAGGACGGGGCCAAAGGTAGCCTCTTACCCGCCGGCCCCTCCTCCCACGTACAACACGACTCCTTGGAGTCCCGACTCCCGCCCCTCTAAAGGCCAGCGACTGCCTAGCCTCAAAGCACCCCCATAACCTGCGCGCCCCGTTCCGCCTTTGAACCCAGGAACGGAGAGGCCTGTAACCACTGGTTACTACCCGAAAGGGACCTGCGGAGCAGCGGCCTGGAGGCTGAGCTCTGCCGCCAGCCGCCCGCGGGACCCGCTCCCCTCGCGCAGAGCCCAGGGAATCGCCCTAAACCACCTGGACTGCTCCGAACTGAGACAGGCCCAGATGTGGAATCTCTGTCCTCATTCCAGAGGTTCGGGTGACCAGGGTCCCTGGCCCAGTCGCTCGTAGAGGGCAGCTCGCCTAGGCCCAAGGCTGCGGGATAATGGATGTGCTTGGTATCTGGGGCGCCCACGCTGTCCTGGGGTGTGTCCTCTTTCCTGGGACTGGTCTGGGGCCTGCCGGGGACAGTCGCTCCGGAACGGGGACAAGCTGTCTCGAGAGCTCAAGGAAATCGCCAGAATTGCTTTCACGGCAGCCCCAGGCCTGGCCTTCCCCAGACAGGACGAGAAAAGCCTGTCCGAGCTGCGCTCGCTCGCCTGAGAGGTGCCTTGGAGAAAGTTGACTTTTACAACGCATGGATCAGACTCATTTTGTGAAATGGGATTGTTTCCAATGGCATTTTTTACGACTGTATTTTTGGGGCTTGTAAAACCCCCTTGAATTAGCTTTAAAATCCTCAATTCTGTGGAGATTGAAGAAACACTATTTATATGATTTGGTTGAATTCCCAGAGGGTGATTATAAGCTCTGTAAAACTCTGGCAAATGCAGAGAATGGGGTTCATACTTGGGGGTGGTGATGCCCCTTAGGAATCTGGGAACGATTTTCTTAATCTCTTCCTTGCTTTTTAATTTTTTCCCCCCTGCCCTTACTTCCCCCAAAGGGAAAAAATTGGGGGGGAAAATACTAGGCTCAGGTTAGTTAGGTGCACAGAGCCTAGCGTGTACCCCTGAAAGCGGCTGTTGCCCACCTCTGGGGGCTGTGCCCAGACGCCTTCTGGTTGTGTGTGCCCCAGTCAATCCAAGCTGGGAAAGTTTCTCCTTTGCATATATAAACAAGGGCCTGGCAGGACAGGATAGAAATTTACATTTCCCTTGCATTTCTTCAGGGAAAGGATTAGACAGACGAAAATAAAAACTCAAGAGTCAAGAATTTTTAAGGGAATTCTTTTTTAAAGCTATTTTCCAAGAAAATCATGTTTGAATTATTGTTTCTTAAATAAGACCACCAGAGGACAGTGATTTCAAGCAAGATATTATATAAGATATATTAAAAAAAACACCATTTGGAGATGTTGATAAATGATTATATTTATAATTCTGCTTCATTCCTCCAGGTTCCACACAATGTTGGGGCTGGTGGCAGTTTACTACTCTTATTATTTGTTATGGTTTGACCTGGATTCTCAATCTAATAATGCTCCCAGCCAACAAGAGAATTTGATTTCTCAGCTAAGAGCCAAAAAACCAAAACAAAACAACATTATATTTCTAGTTTCTATAGGCACTAAGATGAACAAATATATTAAATTAAAATCTCCACACGTTAGCCAAGGCTGGTACATATCATGTTGGCAGCTGCCCAAATCTATTTCTCCAACCAGTGACTATATATATATATATATATATATAGAGAGAGAGAGAGAGAGAGAGAGAGAGACTCAGGCAAGAATAGGAGCCCCGGACTGGAGGGAGCCTTTACTGGGATGGTGAGAATGGCCACCAGGGCTCTCTTCTCGGTCAAAGCCACACAGAAAGTCCACTTACCTTTCAGCTGCTCTTCAAGGGGGACGGGATGGCGAGCAGGGCCCCACAATCCGCCCTTTCCCTGGGCTGCCCACTGAGCTCCTTGACCTCGGCCAGCCTGGAGGACGGCCTGGCCTGCCGGTGTGGGGGGACCTTGAAGGCCACCTCCTCCACCCTGATCTCTAGCCCAGGCTAGAGCCCACAGCACACAGGTGCGGCCTGTGCTTGTCAGGGGCTCTCGCCTGGACCCAAAGCCCGCCTTCCATGCCATAGCCAGTCCTCCTCGGGGTCAGCCGGGCCCGCAGGCCTCAGGCTACCAGTGGTCTCTGTGATTTCAGAATCCCAAAGCGCTGAGCTCCCCAAACCAGCGTGCGCCCCCAGGGCGCCTTAGGACGCGCAGTTTGGACAGAAGCAGCCATGACGTGCCAGGCGGCCTGTGCAACCAGTCTCCATGGTGCTGGGGGGAGGGGGACCCGAGTCTAGTCGGGCGTCCAGCTCCTGTCAGGTGGCCAAGACGGGGGAGGTTCCCGGCCAGTCAGGCCCTGGGAGACCGCCCCTTAAGTCCTCCCTCGCCCCCCTCTCCACGGCCTGCTTGGGAATCTCTGAGGGGCCCGAGCAGTCCTCGCGCCAGGCTGCACGACGCGGGGCTGCGGCTGCGTCGGTCCCGGCGACGGCCACAGCGTGGCAGCAGCGAGCCGCCCGGGCTCGGGCGCAATAAATAATGGGCCCGCGGCAGCCGCAGTCAGGCCGCCCGCGGCCCTGCGATGCAAATGCGCCGCTTTATCCTCCCCGAGTGCACCCTGAATGCACCCGCAGTGCCCGCGGGCGCCCCGGGCCTCCACGACCCCCTCTCCATTATCTAACGCACACCAAGGTAGTCTCTTCAGATGGGAAAACATCAACAGCCTAAACCAAACACAAAAAGAACTCGAGCCCAGAGCCTCAGGGCGGTTTCTGGTTGCTGTCCCAGGAAGCTTTCGGGGCAAATCCGACCACAAGGCACCCAGACCCAACCGTGATCGGGTCTGTGCCACCGCGCGACGTACAGCGAACCCCGCGGCTCCCTCCGCGCCTCCACCCGGGAGGCTCCACAGTCCCCTCCCCGCTTCCCGAAGGTGGGCCGGTGGTCGCCGGCTCCGCGGCGCCGAGGTCGGTGGGTGGGGGTCCCCCTATCGCCCAGCCTTGGTTTGCGTCCTCCTTTCAACCTTCGCTGCGGCCCCTGCCCCTCGCAATAACATCACTCCACCGAAACTTCCCGCCAAGCAGCACCCAGACATTAACCCCATCCTCTCCTCCAACACAGAGTCCCACCCGCGCACCTCTTCCCTCTCCCTGCGCTCCTGACACCTCTCTCCTCGGAAAACCGCGTGGAGGGAAGCAGTCGCTCAGCAGAGGACTCTGGCCGAATTAGTAAGTTGTTTGCTTATCCTCCACCCCCCTCATTCCACCTTTCTCTCCACAAACCAAATCCCAGGGAATAGAAGGCGCTGTGCTCATCTAAAACGCCAGTCCATACGGGCACTTGGCCCTCGTCTCGTCACACCTTTCCAGGTCGGGAACTGTCCCCAGTTCTTGGGGATCAACCGAACCAATTGGGTCATGAATGAAAAAAGAAAAAAAAATCCAAACCCGAGAGGCGGGGGTGGGGGGAGGGAGCGCAGGGTGCAGGGCCACCTCCTCTGGGGCTAGGCCAGGTCGCTGGGGCAGGGGAGGGAGCTGGGGCTTGTGCGCCCGTGCCAGGGCGCGGTGCCACTGGCGAAAGGCGGGCATCCGCTGCCACCGGGAGCCAGGAGAGGAGGGAGTGCGAGCGTGTGTGTGTGTGTGTGTGTGTGTGTGTGTGTGTGGTGGGGAGCTGTCGTGTGTGAGGGGACGGATGTGAACCGGTGAGGGTGGGTGATATGCCCCTCTCCAAAGCCACCCTGGGTGCCCTCGCCCAGGCCGCCTGCGCTGGGTGCCATCTCACCACCTCTGCTCCTGTCTCCCCACATGTCTCACCTTCAGATGGCGGCTCCCAGAAGCTCCTGCCCCTCTGACAGCTGTCGCTGGGGCAGCCCGGGGAGACGAATCGTCCTCTTTCCTGGAGCCAGAGGACGCAGGAAATTAGCCAGGTTGCGAGTTGCAAAGAGGCCGCCGCGGCGCCGGGAGCAGGGCGCACCCCACCTCCAGCGGGAACGGCCGGGCCCGGCCAGCCCGGGGCCTCGCCTCGCTCGCCATCGCCGGACAAAGCGCAGCCGAGCCGGCAGGAAGACAGAGCTCCGAAGCAGGCAGGACGGAGCGGAACACAAGAAATGCGGCTCTATCTTGCAAAGGGAAATTATAAAAAAAGTTCATGTTCACGGTTCCCATCCACATGACCGACAAC